GGGGGGGGGCGTTTTTGCCCCCCTTGAAACAATAATAATTTTTTAAAACACGCAGAAATGCAAACAATAACTTAAGAGCAAAGCATTGACCAGCTTGGCTCAAAAGTAGTTCTTCTGTCTTCGCTCAGTTTGTTGGGTCCACCAAAGTTCAACGTATATAATCTAGACTAGATCTAGACTCTATACTAGATCTATATACCAAACAAAGGAAAGGCAAAGGCCATTCAATATAAACAAAAATTTCGATCCTCAATTTAGAATAACTTTGAACTAATCGAACTAGAAAGTTTGTCCAGATATCTTCCCTAATTTTAAAGCTCCTCATGGTGAGCTCTTGATTAATATTTTATTATCCTAATTACTATTATATAATTGTTGCAGTCTAAATTAGCACAGCCAATATTTCTCTTGTCATTGACTGTAAGAACTTGATCCTGTATAAATCTAGAATCTAGATCTAGATAAAATAAATTTAGCTAGGTCAGCCAGGTTTAACTAGAGTTTTTATGTGTAGGTAGGCCCTTAATAGAATAGGGGATACCAGGGGCGGCTCGTGGGGTTAAAAAGTGGACGTGCACAATATTAAGCTATCACATCCTGAAGATAGTCAAGGGCATAGTAAATGAGATGGTGTATAATTTAAGGATCTTTGGGTTGGTGAGGGAGGACCTCGTGCTTTTATTTTCTTTCATACTACTAAATTTGTTTGTTGGCTAAACATCAATTTCGTTCATCCTGTGTCGGAACTGAACGCTCTAGTAATAACTTTCACTATACTCCACTACAAAACCATTCAAAAGCACAACTCATAGGACGGTCATGTTCACCTCCCTCAGGTTCACGGTCACAGAGTTGCTTAAAATAGTGGCAAGACAGACAATGAACCAATCACAATTCACTTGAGCACTCCGCTGGATTGCTCCGGGGCTCACAAAATATTGGCAAAGAATAACGTACGGTCTATCGCATTTATTTTTAGACTGCCTACTGTGGGCTTTGTTTCGGCACTCTTCGGCAGGAGCACATTTGAGATGTGCCGTCTTATCAATATTAATGTACCGCCAAACTCTCTACGAGTGTCGTCATCACTTGGGTTATCCCCAAGAGCGATTTATAGGTCAGGTTACACTGTTGAATATCCTATTATGTTTAGCTAAAGCGCGTGGACTTTGGCCTGGCATTGTAGTTGTTTTACGGCGCTATAGACACAGAAATGACTGTTATGGCACAGTGAGAACCTTGTTTTGATATATAATATTTGGCTAGTGTTTGTTTGTTTCTGGCTTCTTCTATTTCATTATTGTGAGTGTTTTACGTAATAGAACAGTAAAAAAATTTGGGCGGCACTGCACGACCGTGCTCTATGGACGAACCGCGCCTGCTGGATACGCTCTACTACGGTAGTCTTAATAACCTGTTTTCCCTACTACACTGTTCTGATTTTTGTTCTGCAAGTAACTTACATAGCTGTGAAAGAAGTTCTGAAAGCAGTAGATTCTAGATCTATATATGTAATGTCATTATTCAAGGACAGTCTTACTGTATTTGTTTTGTAGGCCCAAGATAGTAAAATGAGTGCAGAAATCCGAGATATATTTTTTACTGACTTGTATATTATAATTATTCCTCTTTATTTTGATATGGCAGACACTTCGATTGACTACTGATCTATGTGTTATATATATTTCTGCAATATGAATCTCCCCTTTTAAGTCTTCCAGTTTGTGCCCTAAAATTTCATCTTTTCTTCTCTTCTTTTTTAATCTCTCTTTTCTTCCTGTCCTCTCTCTGTCCTCCCCCCCCTCCCCTTTCTTTATTTACGACATACATTATGTTCTATGTTTCTTTACAGAGGGGCTGGCATTATTGTAATTTTTCCACTGCTGCTGCCTTTTATTATCTGTGTACACTGACGCCATGTCGTCGAAAGCTTCAAAGACAGGGTCAAGACAGTCGTCTGCAAGATCCAAAGGAAGCAAAAAGAGTGCTAGGTCTGCAAAGTCTGAAGTTGAAGGTATGGTGTATAGACCATTTCATTTTATATAAATATGATCAGTTACTGGATGATTCCTTATGCTGCTATAGCAAGATGAAACATGATATATTATACTAGATCTATATGTTCTGAGTCATGATGCTTTTTCCTTCTTTGATGTATGAATTTTATATTGAGATTATAATAATTACTGTAAATAAGCTGTCTCTATTTTGAGTTTTTCAGCTTGCTGCTACAGATGTGTTTAAATTTTATATATATTCAGTGTCTAGATGATAATCCTAATGTCACTTTGCCATGAGCTGGATGTTTGGTAATACAAATGTTAATTTAATTCATTTTTAAAATGACTTCTTTTTTCTTGTTAGCTCTTAATCAATTTCATTTGCATCCTGTATTAAGATTTTTTTGTAAGAATGTGTACCTTTTAATTAATTTTTTTTTTTTGGGGGGGGGGGAGATATGTCTCTCTTAAACTCTCTTAAAATGTCCTTTCTTTCTGTAGTAGAAACAGATATATAATTATCTACTGAGAGAGAGAGAGAGAGAGAGAGAGAGAGAGAGAGAGAGAGAGAGAGAGAGAGAAAGAGAGTTCATATAAAAGGTAGGCTATTAGAAAAATTAATCAATTACACCTTTTTCTTATCCTTCAGCTGAACAAAATGTTGAACCTGAGGTACCCGCTGAAGAGGAGCAGGCAGCAGGTATGAAGTTTGTTTGTCATACAATCTGTAGATTAATATCTGTCTGTTTTACAATCTGTTGATTTATTAGACGGATTTGAGAGATATATCTATCATACAATGTGTTATTTAAAGTTGCAGAAAATGACAATTTTAGACTACGATGAATTCATCTCTAGAGTAGATGACCGTGATATGACGTGCCTGTGAATGAAAAGAGAACACATTCTATTGCTTTGCGTTATCCCCACTATTCAAAAGAACTGAGCTATAATTATAGATCTAACTCTCTAAATGCATGTCATTGCAAAGCTGCAAAGCTGCAAAGCTGCAGAGCTCAAAATTTTTTAGGAGAGAGAAAAAACATTGGTTTCTTTCTTTTTAAAAAATTGCACCAACACTATATATATTTTTTTGCTTTGTATCAACATTTTGAATTTGAGATATGGCAAAATGTTTCATTTGCATATAATGCATCTGATTAAGAAACTGCAGTAACAATTTGTTTCAACATTTTGAGCGTAGTTTATCTGATCAGCTAGTTGATGACACATAGGTTCATGTTTCCCCAATTTCTGGCTTGTTTTCATTGATTTTTCTAGCCCTGAACTGCTCATGATGAATGCTTTTGAATAATTTTGGTCTTAAATCACTGAAAGATTCCATATAGTGGGTGGTTAGAGGGTGCCTCTGGTGTAGGTCCTACTTCATTTCTTTCCTGTTGCTATTTCTGTGTGTCTGCCTATCTAACTTTTCCCCTTATTTAAACGACTGTTATCATGTTGATGTGCTTGTCCTGAGTCAGATATACTCAAGAATCAAAAGATTCAGTCTGAATAATGTGGTCAAAGCACCTTCTAATATGTTATACTACTATAGTAATAGCAACTGGTGTGGTTTGCTTCTTCTTTCCCATCAAACATCTATTGTCCTTATCTCTCCTTCTTCTTTTTTATGCTTGTTACTCTCTTGTAACACCTCAAATCTTCTGGCGCTCATATGACCTTTTGCAGTTGCGAGCGCCGTAAAACTCTTTCAAAAACAAAAACTTAGTAATAATAGCAACTGTTTTTTTCCCCCCTTTTTTCCCCCTTTTCTCCCTTTCTGGCTGTGCAGATGAAACTGAACAGGAACCTGAGCCAGAGCCTGAGCCTGTGATACCTGACGAGGCCGAGGAAGAAGATGTGGTCAGTGACAGATCAGATATTTTTGTTGTTGTAAAAAGACCTTTATGAGTTCTTCGGCACTAACTTTAATTTGTCTCTTGCTAAGCATGCAAAGAATGTGAGTTACACTCCTATGTGAGAAGGTGATTTAATGGGTCTCTCAGTATTGTTTTAAGAAAGTATCCATACAAACCATGTATCCTTCTTCCTAAAGCATCTAATTTGTGTTGGGATGAAATATTTACTACACCATATTAATCCTATCTGTACGCCCTGGGGGTAATTTTGTACCCCCCCCCGGTTGTATTCTTCACATTTTAGAATACTTTTAGTACGAAGATCTCTTTGAAACTTTCAGTATTTCTCAAAAAATCATTTTGACAGACTGCTATACAAAGCGTACGGATCAGATTAATGAGTAAATTTCCTGTTCGAAAGTGGTGGCACAGAGTTCCCTACTTCATATATGGATATGATAGTAAAACACGACGTATGGATAGGGTGGTAGTTGGACACTCTCTGAGGAAGCCAGCCCACAATGTGGCAAGGTAATGGATTAAATGGAATCTCCAAGGGAGGAGGGAGAGAGGAAGGTCGAGTTCCATTAGGGAATGAGATCTTGAGGCCGATCTCAGATAGATGGGACACAGCTGGTTTGAGGTTGTAAGGATTTCCCAAAGATAGAGATAGGTGGAGAGCCCTGGAGAGAGAGAGAGAGAGAGAGAGAGAGAGAGAGAGAGAGAGAGAGAGAGAGTGTTTGTTAACAAATATTGCTTATCAGATGTTGATGAGTGATGTTCTTTCATGTTTTATCTCTTTTTATTTCCATCATTTTGGCTTTTTTTTTCTTCACTCTGACCTGGTACCTCCAAGACAAGTTTTGTGTCTCCAAAATGACTTATTAGTGTCTAGTAGGATATCAAATTCTGTTGTTTCATTCTTTACTGATTGGTAACTTTTCCAGTATCGAAAATGGATTTTCTAATCAGTAGTTTTCCCAATACCAAATGGTTTTTCTGATTTGCATTTTTTTCAGTACCAAATGATCAAGAGACGCCTAGTGGTGACAGGGGCCAAAGAGCAAGCGTTGGAGCCCGACCACGAGCAAGCCGTACAAACATTTATAGATGACCCGCAATGCCGCATTCTGGTGGCGTACAATGACCAGTATCGCGGTTTCAGCGTGGAGCACAGCATCCCCTCCTTCCCCGTGCAGCAGCTGTGCTACTTCATCAAGTTCTCCTCTGCCACAGCCCTCACCAACCAGAACTTCCTCAAGGAGGTGCAGTACGGCGCCGTGAAGGGCGGGCACATTGAGAGCTTGCTCAGGGTCATGATGGGCATTTACGCACCCATCTTTTTTGAGAATCGCTCTTGGCCAGACAGTATCCTTTTTTGAGATCTCTCTCCCCCTTCTCCCCCCTCCCCACTCCTTACCCATGCTTAACATCCCACCCCCCCCCCCCCCTTCCCGCCAAATCCTTTTTTGAGGTCCGTCCTGTCATTTCTTAGGTTCTCCACCCCGTTTTCCTCCATTTTCTTAACTCTTATCCTGCGTCTGTGCCCAGATGCGTATCTTATCAGCAACCGATTATGTCGGACGTGCCGGGCAGGCCGCCGGGGTCACTCAGTGTGTACTGTTTGTGTACAGCGCGCGCGCCGGGAAACGTGTGTTTTCGCCATGAATACCGCGGGAGTGTGTTAACTGATGATGAAAATAACGCTCTATCCTTCATAGCTTTCTATTTATAAAGTGTTACAAACACATGAATAACCCCCTCTCACAAGCTGATAAGACATTACGAGTAGTTACGCCCATTTGAATAACCTTTCTGGACGCTCTTGTTGTTATGAATGACCTGAGGTTCGAAAGGGGATAATTTAGGTCAATTTCCGAATGTTTTACACTGAAATTGTTCTTTGTACCTGCACAAGGGTATTCAAAACTATCAAACAAGCTCATTTTTTATCAGGTAGTATCATTTCATGCAAAATCAAGCTCATTTGAAATATTTTGTATAGAAAAATGGAAGTCTTGTTTCCCGACTATCCTTTCGAGCTCCTCATGTCTAAGTGGGTCAATTTCTGCTATAATTTCATTGGACAAACATCTAGAGCTATCAACTTGGCATGTTTTGAATGAGACGTATGCCTCGATTACGAACCAACGCAGGTGGTTCTAGAAGAAGGCCACAAACGCACACAAACTCTAGCAGACTGACGCACACACACTTGACCTGCGTGAATGGGGATCCGACTCGGGACCCGAATGACACGTAAGAGGATGCACGCTGCGCGTGCGCTGAGCCAGGAGCTACACTGACTCGGGACCAGAACGCAGGCGAGGTACCGAAATAGGCTTATCGGGCTACATAAACCCGGCTCCCGCAGGATGAGGGTTAAGGTCAACCCCATACCCCACAGTATCCATGTGTTCAACACAAATTGCAAGAAAAAGCGTGAAAAATTGTTTCTGTATAAAAGTAAAACAACTTTAAAAGTTATATCTCCCCTTTATTAGTTTGACAAAAACAGCGAAAAAACCTTTAAAAAGTCGTTTCCCATTCAATAAAAACAGCAAAAAACACCATAAAAATGTGTTTTCCATTCAATAAAAACAGCAAAAAAACCCTTAAAAAGTTGTTTCCCCTTCTATAAAAACATAAAAAACCCCCAACAACTTATAAGTTATTTTCCTTTCAACAAAAACAGGGAAAGAACCCATAAAGTTAGTTACCCTTCAACCAAAATGATTTTTAAAAACATAGGAAGTCTTTGGACTCCTTTTACAGTCATGTTGTACAAAAACAGAAAAAAGAAAAAGTTCACAAAGTTATATCCCTCCTTGACTCATGGCCCAGGCATTAAGAACGACTTCTCAGCACAGCTTCACAGATTCCTGGCCAGCTTGACAGACACCAGGTGGAAGCTGGAGGGAAAAACGGTTCTCTACGTGCCAACAGAGGGCATGAAACTTCCAGAAGAGGAGGCGGCAAAGAACAAGGAACTGGTGCAGCGTTTGGAGAGTAAGCGTTTAGCAGATTGATGTATCTCAGGTTTTATTTTTTGTATTTTAGGCGCTTGCAGTTTTGAGTTATTGAGGGAGAGAGAGAGAGAGAGAGAGAGAGAGAGAGAGAGAGAGAGAGAGAGAGAGAGAGAGAGAGAGAGAGAGAGAGAGAGAGAGAGAGAGAGAGAGAGAGAGAGAGAGAGAGAGAGAGAGAGAGAGAGGGAGAGAGAGAGAGAGAGAGAGAGAGAGAGAGAAAAAGACCTAACTGAAATTAATACCACAACTGCAAGTTCTTAAAAAAAAAATTAACAATACAACTACAGACAAACCTGACTTAGTGGTCTCTCAAACTAACAGCCACTCTTATATTATTATTTTTTTATATCTCTAACAAAATCTCATAATGTGATTTATATTATGATGAAATAATGCATCAAAATAGGGACTGAAGAATATGGAGGGTGGGTGGTTGGCGGGTTCTCTGGTATGGTTTACTTCTTCTTTCCTATCAAACATCTATCGTCCTTATCTCCCCTTCTTCTTTTTTATGTTTGTTACTCTCTTGTAACACTTCTTAATTTTCTGGTGCTCATATGACCTTATGCAGTTGCGAGCGTCGTAAAACCTCTACTAAAAAACGAATATGGAGGCATGGTGTGGCGAGGAGTGGGGCACCTACACACAAATCGGGCCTCGGGGACAGGTGAAAGGTGTGATCTCACGATGACTCGTGTTCTGTTCTCCCCTCCCCAGCCTCTATGATCCACTGGGCGAGACAGATCAAGGAGGTTCTCAGCTCTCAGGACGCGTTTGAGATGGCGGAAAATTCCGGACCCCTGGAGGAGATTGATTTCTGGAAGAACCGGTGCGCTGACCTGTCCGGCATCACGACCCAGCTGGACAAGCCGGGGGTGAAGCGGATCACTCACATCCTGGAGCTGGCAAAGTCTTCTTATGTTGCTCCGTTCCTAAAGCTTTCTGGGCAGATCAAGGTACTCTCCTCACTTTTCTCAGAGCTCTGCATAAGGAAAATTAGACATGCATGTCACGTTTAGCTTTTTCCCACTAGGCTGTTTTCTTCATTGTGATCTAGGCATTTTGACAGGCATTTTTTTCCTATCAGTTGTCAGAAGAAACCAATTAATTTCTTCTGAATTCTTTTCAGGTTCTCAAATGTTTTTAAACATCAACAATTTCTTATCACACAGGACAGAGAACAACGGTAATCTGATCTCACTATGGTGGTTTGTGTAAATCTGAAGACCCTGGAGTGGAAGAGATTAAGAATTAGTTGAGGAGGAAAATGCTGCTGGGGGCCGTAAAGCATGGGTTGCCTGAGTTATGAAATATTGCTCGCTGAAGGGAATGAGTTAAAGTTCTCTAATAAAGGAAAATTGGATTCAGGCATGTCCCTTTTTGATAGAGTTCTAGTTATGTCAACTTGACACACTAATGTATTTTATGTAATTTATAAATATCTCCTTTTTGCATCGCACTCGGCAAGGTTTTTATTGTTCTGTACATTCTACGACTAGAATATGTGAAATTCAAAGAAACTCATAAATAAGATACTTTAACACTTTGCTTTCACATCTCATCGATTGGCGATGTTTACCACCCAGTTTCTTTGGTTTTCCTCAAAATACCTTTGCCTTTGATGGCAAGGGTTTTTACTGTATGAACCTTGTGATGGCAAAGTGTTAAATTTAATGACAGGAAAATTTCTTTGAACGAGAAATGTTTTTACGAGCTTCACTGTCTTTGAACGTGTTCATTCATAAAAATTTCAGACACAAGAAACCATCTAGTGAATGAGGCAAGTTTTTGAGAAAATCGCTTCCTGAGTTGAGTTAACTCTACTCAAGAAAAGACAACTCATTCATTCGTAATATCAAAATAAGTAAAGTTGAAGTCACCACAGAATATAAAATGTTAAGTTGTATTTCTTTCAAAACCAGTATTGCGGTTTCTATTTGTACCTTTTCTCTTGTGCTATTCAGGAGGGGTCTCGCCAGGCAGAAAGCAACCTGAAGTTTCTGACGGTTCTCAAAGATCCATGCTACGAGCTGGCAGATGGAAAACCAAAAGACATTCCGCGCTTGCTGCCAAAGATCCTCAACATTATCCGCATGATCTGGGTCAACTCCGACTTCTACAACACTCGGGAGAGACTGACGGGCATCTTGAAAAAGGTACCGTACTTTGTGTCAAAAGTAAACGAGGAGCAGAAGAAAGAAAATTATTATAAGTATTCATTTTTTTAAACTCTGTTTTTATTTTCCCGTTGATAATTTGTCTAGTAAGATTGTTGATGAAATTAGAAAGATAGAAACAAATTGATTCCCTTTGAGCCCTAGTGTACAGACCTGCACGTCTGAGATCCTTTTGGTTAACTCACTCAACCCTAGACTGCCAGGCCGTCAACTCTTCCTAGAGATTTTTACCACTTTTTGAAAAATGGAAGACAAACCACCTAAATTTTGACACATCCTACCCAAATTTGGTACACATTTTATTCAAACCTTTATTTGTGTGTACTGGAAATTTGAAGGCAAAATATGACATAGTTTTTATGTAATGCTCTGTTGAAAAAGGTGTATATACAGAGTTAAAAAGTAAACAAAAAGAGAAAAAAAGAAGTACGTTCGAAATTCGCACCCCCTCACGGGGTTCTCGAATATAGCTTTCTTTGTTCTAGATTTGGGCTTGCATTTCTGGTCATAGTCTGTTTCACATGAAAAATGGTCACTCTTCCAATAAGGCTATAGTCTGCTTCACACAAAAGGAGTGCTTTCGGTCACGAGAGCGAAATTTTCCATACCGATACTGTTGGCATTAGCGCTGGGTGAGTTAAACCTACTAACGCGTGCTTCCTGTGCAAAGAAGAGTGAAGACAGTTTTATTTCAGTTGTGCATGCACTTGAGTCCATAGAATTACAACAACGTCCTGAAATGGTTGCGAGATCAAAGCTATGACTGTTTTATCTGTATGCACATTATTCCTTCTCTGTCTTTCTGTCGCTCTTCCTCTCTCAGTCTCTCCTTTCCTCTTTCCCTCCATTCAGTCACATAAGTCGTGCATGTTCAGAGTCACCACTTGTGGGAACAGTTCAAAATTGTGTAATTATATTGTTTGTTTGTTTTTCTCTCTCAAAACTTGGGGGCTCCAGTGGCTAAGTGAGTAGTGAGTTTAGACTCAAGTAATGTCAAGCAAGTGTCGGTGACACGGGGATCAGATGGGTGGTCACTGGAGTGTGTCCTTGAGCAAGACACGACAACCCCAGCTCAAAATACAGGGTGCTGCACAGTGTCGACCGACAGTGGCATGTTTGTAAACTGTTTTGTATTTATGTAATGTTGTGTATTTATTTATGCATGTATTTATGTATGTACATATTTATAATGATGTATTTATGTATGTATATGTATGTTTGCCATTGTAAGCTAAAGTGCCCTTCTGGGACAAGTAAAATTGTAAATTATAATTTTTAAATTTTTATTGTCCAGATGAGCAACGAGATAATCAGCCGGTGCTGTGCAGAGATCAACCTGGACAAGATTTTTGATGGCTATGTTGTCAGTGGGAAGAAATCTCTCAATGACTGCATTGAATGCTGCGAGGAATGGAAGGATATCTATGACAAGGTGAAATCGTGTATGATGTTGGGTTTTTTTTTTGTTGTTTAACTCTTTTTGAGCCATACCGGCATGAACCAGCCCTTCTCGTCATGTTGCCTTACTGGCTTTTACCTGCTTTCCTGCTGTAGAGACATACTGGCTTTTACTGGCCTGACACACCCGCCTTTAGTGCAGGCTTAGTGCAGGCTTAGTGCAGGCTTAGAAATAGAACATTCCGCTCCAAATTTATATGCTGACATCCTAGGTCTTTGTATATGAAATTTTATTGAAATACATCTCGTAGATCCAAAGAAAAATCAATTTCTTTGCTACACCTTCTGTACCTCTCAAAAACACTGAAATAATTCCGTTCTGGGAAGCCATCAGTTGGCCGCCATTTTGGTTCGGCTGTACTGAACTTGCGGCCCTTTTTATGGTGCTAAGAGGGTTAGGTTTGTCAATGTTTTTTAATCCTCTCCAGGGTCATTACTGTCAGTTGTAAAATTGTAACCGTTTTTGTAAATGTTTTACGACCTGATTGGCACAATTTAGATGATTTAAAAAGCAGGCAGCTTCAACCTTGCCTTCAGGGGCCAACCAGAACGTTCTGAAGCATACAGTGCATGTGGCCATTTATAGGTGCTAAAACACTAACATACTGACAAGATCTTTCACTACCGTGTTTCTGTTTTTCTCCCCTTTTCATTATTGTTTCTCTCATTTCATGCTTCTATTTTTCTCCCCATTTCATGTTTCTTTAGTTTTGTTTCATCATGTTTCTATTTTTCTCCACGTGCCCCCCCCCCCCCCCCCCCCCCCCAGACCTCCAAGTTGCACCACAAGTACTCTACTGTGGGCTGGGTACTGGACAGGAGCAGTATCTTCGCCCAGATAGACGCCTTTATACAGAGGTGTAAGGACATGCTGGAGGTTAGTGTTTTTGTAATAAATAGCATTTGTATAGCGCAAATCCCCCTCAACAGCAAGCTCATTGCGCTTCACAATCTATACTATTACCCCAGCAGACCCTGAGAGCATTCTGAAACAAGCTCAACTTCTTGGGAAGCATACAGTGCAAGCAACCATTTATAGGCGTTAAAACACTAACATACTGACAATATCTTTCGTTGTCTATGACCGGAGTTTTTGTCCCATCTCTCCTACTGTCCCCTCTACACTTAATGGCTGTCGTTGTGTCGATGTCCTTTTCTTTTCTGACACCAACCTTATAAAAATGAGTTCATCGTGGATGTCTGATTATGACCGATAGATCTGCAGAGGTGAATATTTCTTGAAGAGAAAAAGAAGTGATAAGGATTAAGATGATTTGTGACTTCTGCTATGGCTAATGAGACCAGTTCTGGCAAATGTAAATGTCTTTAATGAAATTGTGCACTAAACAAAATGCTGTGAGGATATTTAATTTCTTTAATGAGATGGTGGTAAACAGTCTATTCCAGTAAAATGTCTGGCATATCTTTATAGGGGACCCAATAAGGTTTAATCTTGTGAGTGTCGAGCACAAATGAATCAGCTCCAAAATTGTCTAAACCTTCATTTTTGACTTATTGTAAATCAGTGTCTTATACGTCATCTGAAGGAATGGTGAAAAAAAAATTCAGCAAATAGTAATGTGCGAAATCTTCACATGAAATTCTTGTGGTTTTTGACAGTTTAATTGAACAGTTTTTTTAGCCTTTCCTGTTAAATAAGCTTCTTAGAAGAAGGCCCATCTGTGCCTAACTTCATTGATAGGAACCGTGAGACCCATAAGCAAGAGATGTGTTTCTATTTATTCAAAGTCAAACAAGTAACTTACTTCTCTTACAAGAACCAAAGTGATAGTAGTATCGTGTTGGGTAAAAGTAAAGTATAAACCCCCCCCCCACCCCCATGTCTTCATACACGTCGATGATCACAACCTGCTGTTTTCTTTTCCTGTAAGATATAGCAGCGAGCCTATGGTAAACCTCATGACGATCCTGGAGATCTATGCACTTATTCAAGTTAATTCTTTTTTTTTAAAAGGG